ATAAAGTTTCCATAATTCTGTTCTCGTAGTCCTCAATTCTGCTGCTTTTTCACAACCATTAGAGTCTTGCATTTGCTGGAAATTTTCCTCTGCTAAGTGTATATTCCTTTCTAATTCTGCAATTTCTACAGCTGGGTATTGATATCTATTCCCCGCCCATTCCTTGATCGCCAATTTGGTAGATTTCAGGATAGAAAAAATTCCAACTCTGTTATGTTTACTCTTGCAGTTTTGTACAGCAGAGCCAACTAAATTCTGAAAACCTTCTTCATCCATCAAATAACTAAATAATATGAATGGTTTTTTACCCCAACTAACTCCACCGTTCTCAAGAAAAATGGCATTGTGATCTGATACAGCCTTAGGTAACAAATACTGTATAGTTTCAAGAAAGGCTTCCAAAAAATGGACATCAACTAAGAACCTGTCCAGTCTAACAAAGGTGGGTATATCCTGATTGCTACACCATGTGAACCTACCCCCATGCAAAGGTAAATCAATTAAATATGTCTGTTGGATAAAATGACTGAAAATTCTTATTGAATTTCTGTTTTGGGCTCTTCCAATCTTCTCTTCTTCTGAAAGATACACATTAAAATCACCTCCCACACAAAGAGGAATACTCTGACCACAAATAAAAACAGCTAACTCTTCAAAAAAGCAAGCTTTTTCTTCTTCAACAGTAGGACCGTAAACATTGATAAAACCACACCTAAGTTGTGAAGTTCGAAATTTCCCAAAAGTAGCAATGAACCTTCTGTTTATAACATGATTTTCCACTTCAAACATGCCCTCATTCCAACAACTCAATAAACCTCCAGAAGAACCCACTGCTGGATATTCTGTAAACCCTTGAAGGGTATTCAAACCACTACTCCTCAAAAAATGCCTCTGAATCTTCTCCATTTTTGTTTCTTGAAGCAAAAGAAAAATAGGGTGTTTCTTTAAAACTAAATTTTGAACAGATCTTTGTTTTTCCTTTCTTCCCAATCCCCGAACGTTCCATGAAATAATTGCTAATTGGTTAATCATCAAAAAAATTAAAAACCAGAACTGCCAAGAAAACTGAAGCTCAAACCAGCCCCAAATCTTCCTCCAACTTTATAATTTTTTTTCCCAAAAAGTTGACTTCCCTTCCTTGAAAGACACCCCCAAAAGCTTATTGACTTCCTAAGTAGCTAAGGCTTCCTCCAATAGAACTGAAAAAGCTGGAGAAGAAACTGTTGAAGTGCTAGCCTGATCCAATGCCTCCCTTATCAACAATCTTTTGGCTCTTCGAATAAATTTAATGGAATTGAAATCAAAATCATCACCTTCTGAAAACCACTCTTCACACGTATTACCCAAACTACTATCAGCAACATGCCTCTCCACAGTAGACTCCACACAACCATCCATATTAAAATCTGCTACTGGACTGACTGGCAGAACTGAATTTAGCACCAAGTCCTTACCCTTTAGCTTTTCTAAGGATTCCTCTTCTGTAGGTAATGGCCAATGTCTTCTCTCCCTTGATCTCGAATACACCCTTTTATAACTAAACATTCTTCTCCTTTCCAACGGCTCACTCCTAGTAGTTAAAGATGAATTAGATCGATGAAGCGATCTTCCCCTAGAAATCATTTTTCCAGCATGTGCATTAGAGTCAATCATCTTAGTTGCTGCTGTTAACTCTACTCCCCCACTACGCAGCATCAAACTGGAATGAGATATACCTCCATTATTTGCTTCCTCCATGTTGACAGATTGAACTATAAATTGGTTCTAGTCCATTCTCCCAAAACTATCCAATTTAATAATTGGCCCAGTTGGAATTATTTTAAAATCTGTAGAACCAGGCTGCTCACTTTCTACTGACTGGGCTTCAGACCCATCAGCCGAAAAATTAAAAACTCTGAATCCCAAACCGGCATAATCACCCAAATTGTTTCTCCCAATATCCTGGCAGTCTGACACCTCACAATTAATGCTTTTCCCATCTCTGTTAAGCATTGGGATATGATTTTCCCCACCTACTCCAACCAAACCCGTATAAGCTCCTTTGTCAAACCATAAGTCTACATTTTGTCTGCTGTGTTCTTCTAAATGTTCAGCACTTTCCATACTTTCTGACACACTCCTGTCAGCTTCCTCTCCAGCAATCTTCTCACCAATTTGAATTACATCGGAAACTCCCACCGGCGATTTGCTAGAAAAATCTGAATTATACTCGAGCACCGAACCCCGCTTAATCTTCACTGTATAAGATCTTCCATAAGCTCCAAGTGTTATCACCTCAGGGACATCATAAGGGCTCTCCACCCTGATCAAAATCTTCACCGTGGAGAGGTCTTCTCTGTTTTTTATATCTTCATGGATATCTTCCACCATTCCCCACCTCCCTGCTAAAAGTTCCAAGAAGGTGTTTTGTCAGCATAATAATGGAACCCCAGATAGTTCTATGAGGCAAAAAGCCATTGGAATGCCATCATCATTCAATAAAGGTGCCAACCTATCGAACCAGAAAAGTAATTCATCTTTTTTCGTCGACCATGCATCCAACATTTCTTCATCCGACTTAAAGGTTACAACACATGAATTCCAAACGTAACCCCATCTGGCAATCTGAACTTCAAGGCCTTCATTAACTAGAGACTTCTGGACTAATTCTAACTCAAAAGAATGTTTAATAATCCCCGTTAATGACCTCTTCACCCAACTGGAGCTCTCTGAAGGAATATGCATTTCCCAAATATTTTTTATGCCTTTCCTCCTGTTGAAACCTTCAAATGTCATTTCCCTTTGGTCTGATACATTACTCTTCAATCTATTAGACAGTAAGGCATCCTTGTAAGATCTTTCATCCCTTAAACTCCTATTAATATCAACTTTCACTTTTGACCTTGAAGTATCAACTGAGACCTGCTTTAAAGTCATCTCCAAAGAACTATTCTGCCCTGCTGACCTCATACGAGCTTCCTTGTATCGTGCAGAACCAACTGTAATTCTCCAACCATCAATCAATGAACCATTCAGCTTGTTAATAGCCCATTTTAGACTTTCCTCGTTACCAAAATGTACAAAGGCAAATATGGAGAATTTGTATTTCGGATTCCTTGTTTCTTTAGGAATGAACACTCTGACTACCGGACCCTGAGTTGAGAACAACTCCCTTGACTCTCGTCGAGACACTCTTCTACTTAGATTATCGATGAACGCCGACCAAACTTTCCCGGAAGAAAACTTCCCTTTCAATTTTTCTCTCTACGTTTCCATCTCTCACTCATCTTTTTTGGACTAGGTAGAAAACAGATGAATAGAAGAGTATCCAAAAATTGTTCTTACCTCCTTAACCTCTTCAACATCATAGTAGGCCTTGGTGGGGATCCCCAACTCCTTCGGTTGAACAATAATGATGACCAAAACAGGATTTGGGACATAGCTGCAACAACAAAAGCACCTGGTTAAAAGATTGGACTGGAAAGTGAAGTTAAGAACAGTATAAGAAATAACAATCAATAAAATCTTACTTGTGGAATAATCTGTGAATATCTAGATCATTTTCCCGTAATTTTGGGCCCGTACTATACCAACTAACAACTTGCTCCTTGGCTAAAACAATGATCAAATCAAATCCAGAGATAAAGAACATTAATTCTTAACAGAATAATAGATGAAACGAGAAAGAAGAGAATAGATAAACTAAAAGAAGCACCATCTTTACTAAAGTTGAGAAACTAGTTACCATTAATCCTCTTGAACACTGAAAACATTGATTCATGGTAGTTGTGGTCAAGGAACCATATACTCGGGTCTTTCTCGTCTTCCTCAAAAGGAACTGAAAATTCAATATTCAAACTCTTCAAACACGATAATACTAATTAATGCAAGTCAAGTGTCAACACAAGCTCAACAATAAGAAATTATATCATCAAAACATATGGAGGACCAAGGCATTTCTTCAAATACTCTTTAGGTCAACACATACACAATTAACAAACTGTCTCAATTCAAACCCAACAATCTGATTTAAAACCCCAAAACCCAAAAATTACTCTAAAAAACCTATAATTATAAATTATAATTCAGCACAAGCAACATCTCAATCAGCAATCGTGCAAAAGATAAAAACATAAGATTTCCCTAAACAGTATTTATTAAAGCAAACAGAACGATTCAGATCTAGAACGAAATTCAAAAAAATGAAATAAAAGAGAAAATAAACAGCAAAAAGAAGGAAAAAGAGAAACCTGCATAGCTGTTGGTAACGTCGACGGAGCCTTTGAAGGAAGAACCAAGTGGGTCGAGCCGATATTTGCTGAGTTTTTATCACATCCATATTCAACTCTTTGATTTCTCTCTGCCAGTTTTTGATTTTGTTTCGTTTCCTCTGTCAAGAGACCATATTCAACTCTTTGATTTCTCTCTGCCAGTTTTTGATTTTGTTTCGTTTCCTCTGTCAAGAGACGTATTTCTTGAGCCACCGGAAACCAAATTATGCGTAGCTTTCTTATACGAGGGTGGATTAGATAAATGATCCCTAAATTCTGTTTATATTTTTGTTGGGTAAACTATAAATGTTTTAGTGAATTTTATTTCAACATCAATATTTGAAAATTATATTATGATCACTAATATTATCAATTTTCATAATTAATTCAAGGTACATTAATAACGTCGTAAATTTATTTATTTTTGGATAAAATGTGTATATTCAATCCAAAGAGACATCAAAGCTGCAACAGTCAAAAGTAAAACCCTACAAACAAGATCTAAAAACTAAACTATACATTTCCTGTGTTATTCCTCGTAATAAGCTTTATCTGCACAATTTCTTTAATACAATCAAGAATTTCCTCCTCATTCCTATATAAGTTCCTAAAATTTATTTTATTTCTTTCCTCCCAAACAAAGTATATATAAACATTCCAAAAAAATGTAAACCAAATGCTTGAAATAGATTTACCCCTCCAAAGAGACAACATCTATTGAAGTTCACCCTCCAAGCTAGTGTTCCCACGCTACACATCACTCCAGGACAGAACAGCTCTCCAAACTCGAGCCCAGAAAGGAAAACTAAAAAATAAATGACTTCTGGTTTCCTCTTCCTCCCAACAAAGCACACAAATACCCTCAAGAACCATGCTCATTCTACGAATGATGTCCTTAGTTGCTAGACGATTAAGCAAAGTCAACCAAGACACAATAGCATGCCTAGGAACATGTAAAGGAAACCACACCAACTTCTGCCATGGAACTTTATCATTCTTTACTCTTATCTCTTGTCAAATCCACCTCATCCGAACAGACATTGAACACCCAGCATGGAATAACGGCCACACAATCTCCTTAAGGGAGAAAACTTTATTTAAACCCCAACTCACCCAACTGCCCAGAATGAAACCCCAAACGCTTGTCCCCTTAAGAACATAAGTCTTCAACCACTCCACCCAAAGGGACCCATCATTCGCCAAAATTTTCCTAAGAAGCTAAAGGAGACGCGCACAATTCCAACAAGCCAAATCCTTGATGCCTAACCCCCCCTTTAGATTTCAGAGTGCAAATCCGACTCTAACTCACATTAGCACCAAGAGCAATAGAACCTGAACCCCTCCAAAAAAAGATCTCATACACAGTTGATCAACCTTCTTCAAAACAGACCTAGGCAGAATCAGTTGCCTACACCAAAATTAGAAATGCTAAACAAAACTGATTGAATCAATTGCAGCATACCAGCGTAGCTTAATCTACAATTCGACCACTTCCCTAGCTTCCTACTGATAGAGTTAAACAATCTAAAGCAGTCCTTCTCCAACAAATGTCAAGTAACAAGCGGAACTCTCAGATAACGCACCAGAAGCTTATCAATATTAAACCCCCAACGTGTCTCTAATCTTCTCCAACTCACCCTCCAAAACACCGGAAGTAAAGATTTCACACTTTGCATCATTAATTCTTAATGTCAACATTTTGTAAAATTTGCTCAAAACAATGAGCCCCACCATGTAATCAAATTACCCTTCGCAAAAATGAGCAAATCATCAGCAAAGCATAAGTGCGCTAACATGACTCTCATGCACTTAGGGTGAAACTGAAAAAAACCCTTAAAAGCCGCCAAGTCCAGCAACCGAGATAGCACATTCAAGGCCAAAACAAACCAGTAGGGAGATAAAAGATCTCCTTTCCTAACACCCATCTCTCCCTTAAAATAGCTAGCTAAGCTACCATTAAAGGCAATCGAAAAATATCGGGTCATTACACACCTGCGGATCCAGCCCCTAAACTCATTAGGGATTCACATTGCCTCAAGAACATCAAGGATAAAATTCAAATTTATGTTGTCAAACGCTTTCTATAAGTCACTTTTTATGGTGCACCTCGGATTCAAAGTTTTCCTACCATACCCTCTCACATTCTCTTGCGCAAGCAGAGTATTATCCACAATATCCTGCCCTTTAACAAACGCTGATTGGTTAGGCCTTACCATATCAAGAAACACAATAGCCAATCTACGGACCATAATTCTAGTGATAGCCCTATAGACAACCGAACAACAAGATAAAGGCCTAAAATCCTTCATATTGCAAGCATTTACCACTTTTGGAACCAGGACCAATGTTGTAGCATTAAAAGCCAGTAAGAGGTTTGAAGTGCTAAAGAACGAACAAACTGCATCAATAATATTCGCACCCACACCTCCGAAGCCACTTTAAAGAACTTGGGAGAATATTCATCCAGTCCCGGTGCTTTATCATCACCATGGTGAAAAAAACCTCTTTAATCTCAATATTATACACTTCTCCAGTTAACAACCTGCCAACATCACTAGAAATTTTAAAACCAACAATCTCACTTAAAGTACTCACATTGCAGCTCTCCATATCTGGGTCCACAGCTCCTACCAAACTTTGAAAGAAATGCACAACTTCCCCCGACGTATCATCAAAAGACACAAGCTGCTGCCCCTGCTCATTATAAAGCATACGAACCATGTCTCGTTTCTACTTAACCGCCACTGAGGCATTTAAAAATTTAGTGCCCAAATCACCTTTATTCAACCACTTTACTTTCGCTTTTTGTCTGTAGTAAAGTCTTTCTGTCATCTCAAGCTCTTCTTGTTCAGCTCGGAGAAGGTTCTCACATCTCATACCCTCAGCATTCCCATTGTCAGAAAGATTACAAATTTACTGGTCCTCAAGTTGAATCTTCTTTAACGCCACCCTAGCAGGGAGATCCCTATAACAAAATTTATTAAACAACTTCAACTCTCTTTTCATACATTTCATCTTGCGGAATAAAACCAACATCGGATCCCCCTAAACATGCTTCAACCAAGAACACCAAACTACCTCCATAAACCCTAGATAAAGAGTCCAAAAATAAAAGAATTTAAACGACTTTGGCCTGTGAATAGGCAAAGGCATCTCCATCCAAACCAAAACGGGACAATGATCTAACTTCCGAGCCAAAAACACAGTTTCCTAACTATTAGACCAAGTAAATAGAGGCCCACTAAAAGGATGATCAGTAAGATTCAGATCCTCCATTCAGTCCCTAAAAGCACACATATCCGCAGTAGGATGCTCAAAAGCATCCATACCCAAGGTTTCAGACATTGAAGTCCCCCACAATCCAAGGGACAGAAGCCATAGAAGCACCAACATCCTTTAACTGTTGCCAAAGAGCCCTTAGAATCACACCGTCATTACTTTCATACACTACAGTGACACCAATATCCATACCCCTAAACTTACTTATCGACGAAATAAATTGATCATAAACACAAACATCCCTAAGTTGCATGTCATTCCTCTAGAGAACCTAAATCCGACCATTACTCGCACAACTATAATTGGAAACCCAATTCCAATTAACAAAAGCACCAGCAACAACCCCAAGCATTTTTTTCTCTTTTTCTCTAGTCTTGAGCAGATAAGCAACATCAATCTTAAACCTATTAAGACGTTTCACAATAAGTGCTTGCTTATTCAGGGCATTAAGCCCTTGCACATTCCAAAAATAAAAATTCATGAGAAGGAAGGCAAATATCCACCCTCACCAACCCCCTCAAGACCTTTTTTCCCCTCTCTAATTGATCTTTATTTTTAGCTTTCATCTCATTCAACAGATTCGTCACCCCTAAGGCAGCAACCCGTGGTTTTTGAGCATGCAAATCAACACCAATAGGGAAAGAATTCTCCTGATCATCCCCTGAAACTGCAAATTTATTCTTAGTAACCACCCCTTGCCTTCCACCTTCTTTACTCCCTACATCCTTATTTTAGATTTCAATTTTACAAACCGAGACAGACTAGAACTCCCAAACTTATCGCCAGCTTTACTAGAGGCATCAACATCAATACACTCACTAATATCCTGATCTAAAACAGCACTCTCACTATCAACCTTAGTTAACAGTTCAACTCCCTCAACTATAGTTTTCACAAGGTTCTTACACACAACCTTAGCATAATTACTCTTCCCAGATTTCTTAACTTGCCAAATTTGCTCAACAGTCTTACCCTTAATAGAGCAATCCTTCTCCGAATGAGAAAAGGTACAACAATTAACACACCTAATGGGCAACCATGGAACTTCTACTAACTGTCGTAGTAGTACCATTACCGAGAACAATTGAAATCAGCGCCAATTTCGATGCATACCTTCTCATAAGAAAGACGTTGCCTCGACGTCGTGATCCCATCCATATAAAACGGAGTTCCCACAACGCTCGCAATAAAACTTAGTCCCTTCTTTGTTAAAAGCTCCAATAGAACATGAGAATGATGAATCCAAACAGGAACACGATCCATCTTAAACTCCAAGGTTCTCAGATTCGACTTCTACTTTCTTAAGGTCATCGGGTTATTTTGAGCATGCCATAGACCAGTCTCCAGCATCGAATCCACTGTCGAGGCATTCCCAAACTGAAAAATGAACAAATTTTCCCAGTAAGGCTCACTTCAATCTTACCCACTTTACTCCACAAGGATTTCAACCTTTCGCTACCTTTCGCACCACAAAATTGGGAGGAAGCCCAAGAAATTGAGCAACCAGCGAGTGCCTCCAAGTAGAAATCCCTTCATTTAGAACCTTAACCGACGGTCGCACTTTAATGGAACCCTCACTGATCTCCGGAGGAAAGAACTCCAACGATTGCTCCTGATTCCCCTCAAACAACTTCCTCAAATCGATCAGAAGCAAGGAAACAAGAGATAAATCAAAGCAAACTGAAGAAAACAAGAGAAAATCACGACTGAGGCAAGAAAATTTTCAACGAAAAATAGACCTGCTATCTTACGCCGAGAGCATTTTCTAAACGTGCGCCGATCAACCTATTTAAATTTTAAATTTAACGTCATAAATTTATTAAAAACAATATTAATATATAATATAATCTATAAATTATAATTAAAATACTAATTTGATTTTAGTTTTAAAAAATAATTTTAAATTTTACAAATTATATCAATTTGATTTTAATTTTAAAGTTTTAAATAATTATAAAAATAATTTTACTTGATTTAAACCTATACTTATACTTGTTCTTTAATCATTTTAAAACTTTAATCACCCTTCAATTACAGCTCAATAAAACCACAGAGGAGAACCCCTATCTTATAAAAATAATGTCTAAGTGGGAAAGAAGATAAACACTTTTTGTTAATCTAATAATATAATTCCTTTATTTTTTGAAAATTAATTATAATATCTCAATCCAATGCCTAGATTTAAACATGAAATTTTCATTAGGATTCATTCACTGGCACATATTTATTGTTTATATAATTCTTTTTTTGAATAGTTTAGAGTGTTTAGAATTTTTTTTAGTCATTAACAGCATACGTAAACTCTCCAGATATAAGTACTTGAACTCGGTACCTATAAAAGAAACAACACTCTATTTTATTCTTAAGGCCACTGAATAAGTAAATTGATTCATAAAGACACTTAGCATTTTTTTTTTGAATTGAAAGAAGCCTAAAACAGTAGGCTATGCGCGTATATTCTCATCAGTTTGTTGCGCAACAGCAGCGTCTAAAGCTAGGAGGTCTGCTAGCTCATCCGGAGGGAATCAAAATGAACCAAGCTGTAGTGTTGTCGTGAAGCTAGCTTTGTCATCCTATCGGCAATCTTGTTTCCATTCCTGCTAATCCATTAGATTTTTGTCAATCAGCATCCCGACTGTCGAAGCTTTAGAATTGCGTGAAGCAACGGAATATGGATGTCGATTAATCTACTTTCTCCTACCAATTTCTTTTATTCCAACTAAAGCCTTAATGTTTTAAAATATTACTACACATGACTTATTTTTTTTTTAACAATTTCCTTAATTATTCTATATCTTTAAGAAAATTATTAATCTAATCCTTAAGAAAATTTACGTGTGATAGAATTATTATTATGTAATAATTTCTATAGATGATTCTTGTATTTTGATGACATAATTAAATTGTACTAAATTCATTGTTATGTTTTTTATTTATTTTTGCTGATGTATTGTCAAATTACACTAAATTTTATAACTTATCCCCTATTCTGTCTTTCCTTTCGAACAATTCAGAATCTTAAATTCTTACTCGGCATCCAGATGATCATAGTCTTGATTTTCAGCATTAAAATATATATTTATATTCTTTTACTATTGTTGTTTTTAGTTTATAATTATTATTTTGTATTTTTTATTTATGATATTTATTTTGCATGTATTTTAAATTACGTATGCGAAATTTTTGATAAATTATTTTTGTGTCACTTTCGTGATAAATATTTTTCTTCAATGGAATATTAAGAGAATATCCATATGTTTTTTACATGTTCAATAAAAAAGGAACTAACTTATACCAATGTAAATAATTTAATAATATTTTTATCACTAATAACATAGACTAAATTATTATGATATTTAAAATAATAATATTATTCATCGTGTTTGATGTTTATGATGGGTACTTTTTGGAACTGTGAGAAACATATAATGATACACGCACGATCAAAACCAACTTTCTCCATAACTTGATTATTCCATGAATGTTTTCATTGGTGCTTCTAAGGGAGTTATTCCTTACCTTATCATATATTATATCATTTATACATTCTATTCTATCATAAGCATGCATTCACATGTTAGTATAAATTATCATATCATTCATACCATCCTATGCTTAGTTTATCATGTCTTTCATATCATTCAAATATATGCTATGACTACATATCATTTCTTAGGATATTAATATTATATGTTTCCATTTATCATTTATTATGAATACCATGTTTTATGATATTCATGCATATAACATATAGTCCACATCTTTATATTATATTCTTAAGTACATAGGTTAACTTTTAATATGAGTTTTTTATGTTTCTTACAGGTTCCAAAGTATACAACAACTTGGAAGTTGAATTTGAGCTTAACTAAGGACAAGGAGCTAGGAAAACTTACATAGGATTACTCAGAAGAGCATGAAGAACAAATGGTGAAAAGTTGTCTATTGCCAACCATTGCCAAGTGAGTTCATAGCTGGATTGAGTTGAAGATTTGAGCTAGAAGAAGACTTCAATTCAGCTTGGAACTTGAACATACATAATCTATGCCCAAAGGACATCAATTTTGTGAAAGGTCACTTTTTCTCAAATCGTGCCTTTTCGCGAATAGGTGCATTTTCGGGTCATGCCTTTTCACGAGGAGCTACCAAGTGAATTAACACATCAATGGGCATTAACTGCCAGCTCCTCATCAACTCACTCACCTTGCAACATACCTTTTCATGAAGAGGTGCCATCCAAACATCATGATCTTTCGTGAAAAGTGCTGCCATGGAAGGTCACCATTGAAGGGGGATGTGCATTGGTGATGTTATTTAGGCCAAAAGGTGCCTAAATCATGAAGATACACGAGGCAAGCAACCTAATCATTCGTCCACACAAGAGCATGGATTTGGCGCCAACATGAGAAGACATCATTATTTAATTCAATTCATCATGTATT